TTATTCTTGAATGGCATGATTCATCAAAAGAAACATTTTTTGAAGATTCAAGAATAAATGTTTTTCTTAATGTAAATATTTCTATTGTTTGTTTGTTTTTTCTTTCTATAAGAAAAAAAAATTTATTCTAATTAAGATTTTATTATAGGATTTACATCATTTAATTCGTATAGATGTTAAAGTTTATCCTCAATTGAAAGAAGAAATTAAATTACTTGAATCAATCATGGAAAGTGATTCGTAATAATTGAAAAAAAAATTTTTTTTTTAAATTATTTATTTTATTCATTTTTTAATTATAGAGAACCTAAAGAAACACGTAAAAGTAAATTACCATGGAAACAACGAAATAGTATTGATAAACCAAAAATGATACGTCCATCAGATGAAGGTTATTTATTTTTGAATAGATTGAATTCAAAAAAAAAAAAAACAATTTGTCTTTTTTTGAAAAAATTAGTTATTTGCAAAGTTTATTGTGCTGATCATACATATACAACAATGAAAATGCGAGTTGATACTCCAGCTTCAAGAATTATTCGATTAGCAGCCGATAAATTAGGTTTACGTTGTGATCAACCTGATGATTTAAAATTATGTGAAGTTAAATCTACAGGAGGTAGAGTTTAGTTATTTGATTATACGGATTATAATTTTTATAAAGGATTTATTTTTCTATTTTAGAAAGACTCTTATATAAAGAAAGTGATTTAAGTATTTCATATGGATTATCATTAAATGGTCGTCTATTTTTGGCACCCGGTGATCATCTTGATGCTTTGGTATGTAAGAAAAAAAAACAGGCATATTTTTACAAACATCGTTTATTTTTTCTTCTGTAATTTTTCAAGGTCTTCGAGACTATTGTTCATTTATTACTATACTGATTTCGTAAAAGCATTTTTTTTAATATAGTCTACAGTCTGACGTTTGTATGCCAAAGTTAATTTGTATTTTTCTTTTCACAACGATAGATGACGCAAATTGGGCCATTAACAAAACTAATGTTTTTTTCCTTTTAAATAAAAGTGTCAAAAGCAGGTCACCTAGAACAGACTCATTAATTCATATAAAAAAAAATATTTCAATAGTGTTTAAAATAGAAGACTCTTGCAATAAGTGTTTTTAAAGAAATTTTTATGGAATATAAATGAAAATCATAAGTTTCTACAACTAGAAGGTAAAAAAAATTCTAAAAGATCTTGGATTGACATTCAATTTTGATGAAAATGTCAGAGAAAAAAAAATTAATCTTGATAGTTAATCTCAAGAGACAATCGATTAAAATATTCTCATCAGATAAACTCAGCAATATAAAACTTCAAAACAATCTTTTTATCAAAAATTAGAAACTTTCAATAAATGAAATTTCTTATATTTATTTGTGAAGTTTTCTTCAAACTTCCATCCTATCCATAGATAACACACTCACCCATTTTCGACCTTCTGATTGTTATAACTCAATAACTTAAGATGATAAAGAGCTGAAACTTACATTGCAGCAAGATATATGAAAGTTCTAGTTTCACTAAAATTTTCATTTCATTTAATCGAACTTCAACGATTCTAGAAGAATAGAAAGTCGTGGTAACGTACTCATTCAAAAGAACTTCTTCCATCAGAACTATCCGAAAAAAACTCACATTCCTAAAAATTTTCTCGCTCTGAACAAAAAGCTTTTATCTGTGTTTGAAGCTAAGATAACAGATGCGACGATGGTGAAATGTATTTTTGAAAACTCGTTCCTACAAAGAGTTATCATCAAAACATTACGGTAATGCTCTTATCATTTTTTTTGAGCCCCTTAGAAAAATACATTTTTTTATAACTTTGACAATAGAAGGTAATCGATTAATCTTCGATAATACTACTATCATTTCCACTTTTTTTTTTGAATGATAAAGTAGTGTTCGCAATATGATAATAGACGATAAGACCCCTTTATTTCATCATTTTTTGCACAAAAAATGCTTAATTTTGGCTGACAATCATTATTTCTTCTCGTCATTCTTCAAAACAAATGACATCTATCAATAGAGAATATTCTAAAAATTTTTGAATAAGTTCAGTCGTCTTATGTTCAAGAAATCTTCTGCTCAACTTTGACCAAGCGTGATCCTTTTCAGCTGAACAGGCCACTTATTTTATAAAATAGTTCATATAGATTTTATGATCTATTAAATGTGAAACCAATTAACATTTCTTTTGATTATCACCAAAAGTCTCTATGTAATTCCGGTAAGAAATTCTTTGAAAAAAAATTGATAGTGTGTCTTAATTCAAAATAGACAATATAATCGTCGGTGCTTGGATAAACTGAAATTTCGTCACTTGAACCTTAACATTTTGTCAAAGAGAATTATTCGATACGATTTTTTTTCAAACATAAGACAACCTTTCCATAGAGAAAAAAGATCTTTATGTAAATATTCTGATGATAATCTTATATCGTCTATTGAAAACGAAAGAAATTCAATTCCTGTTACTCTCATTTAATAAGCAAAAAATGAAATATTTTTATGAGTTTTCTCAATCTATTTACTATGGTTTTTTTCTTCTTTATTAATAGAAAAATTAAATTAATTCGAATTTAGGTACCTTTACCTGAACAAGAAGGTCCACAACGTGGTACATGGCAAAAATTAGAAATGTTTGGTTCAAAAGAACTTGCTTATGCTATTACAATACATGATTATGAATTATTTATTGCTATTAATCAAGTATGATCTAATATTCGTATTTTATTGAAAAAAAGAAACAAGCTGTTTTTTTTCTTTTCAATAGCATGAACTTCTCTATCAAGTATTTGGTCGATATAAATATGGAAAACTAACAGCAAATTTAGATATATTTATGAGACGATTTAATGAAATTCAATATTGGATTGTAACAGAAATATGTTTAACACCAAGTCCGGGTAAACGTGTACAACTTTTAAGAAAATTTATTAAACTGGCATCTTAGTAAGTTTAAATAAATTCGATAGATTAGCAAATATGTTATGTTTTTTTTTCTTATTATTTTTTATTAGTTGTAAAGAATATCGAAATCTTAATTCATTTTTTGCTATTGTTATGGGTCTTAGTAACATAGCTGTTAGTCGATTATCTTTAACTTGGGAAGTAAGTTATTTTGTATAAAATAATTATTTAATTATATTCTTTTAATAATAGAGATTACCAAGTAAAATTAAACGTATGTTTTCGGAATTTGAAACTTTAATGGATCCATCACGTAATCATCGAGTTTATCGTTCAACATTAACAAAATTAACACCACCAACTATACTTTTTATGCCACTTTTGCTTAAAGGTTTGTTTTTGATATCTATTCATGAAGTTTTCATTGTATTTTAATTTACTTTTGATTCTTATATAGATTTAACATTTATACATGAAGGCAATAAAACTTATTTAATTGAAGGTTTAGTCAATTTTGAAAAAATGGTAAAAAAAAATATTTTTCAACTATTTATTCAACAGAAGTTTATATCGATTATTATGTTTTTTTTTTCAATATAGAGAATGTTATCACATACAACGCGTACATTAAAAATATGTCGTAGTCAAACATTACGTAAGTAACAAAAATATTTGACATCAAGATATATGTAAAAACTTAATCTTTTGAGTCTCATATAGCTTTTGATCTAGACTAATGGCAGATTGAAAGGTTAATATAACCAACAGAGCCTGTCGAGTTTGTCCCGAGCTCAATAGATTCTAGTCGTCTGAGAAATGTATAGAGTATATGAATTACTGAATACAAAAGACCGGAAAAATATCTCGTACTTTCACAGTGAACATCGAATTTCTATTAGACAACTTCAGTGAGCATATGAAAGTATGATTCGACGGGCTCTAATAACCGATCTGGAATAAGAAGCTAAGTATATTGCATTCTATGTGGGAGTGTTGGCTCAGTGCAAAGAATGTATTGAACAAAAAACTGAAATAGTGAAATTAAATCGCCGTTTATGCTAAAAACAAACTTCGAAAAAAGTAAAAAAGTAAATTTTATTTCTTGATTGTGGGAGTAAGACGAAGAGAACAAGTACATCCACAGTCTTCGTTAATTGTTTTTTTTTTTTGTATTATTTGCTGATGATTAGATATGTTATGACTAAGCAGTCATATTGTTTTATTCGATCGATTTGCAGAACTGATAGTTAGAATTAAATACTCACTTTAAGTTTTTTTTTTTTCTAATGAATAATATTTTATTTCAATAGAATTACAAGTACCACAAGGAGCAAAAAACCTTTCAGAAATTCAAGAATATATTCGGTATTTATAAACCAATATTATTAAAATTATTCTCCTTCTGTTTTTTTTTTCTTCTAGTGAAATGAATGTTATTGATAATCAACGTATTCTAAATCAATTATCCAATAAATTAGAACCACGTCAAACATAGATTTTGATAATAAGAACAAATATATATATATATATATATGATTTTTATAATACATTTCGCCAATAATGTTTCTTTATATTGTATAATATCAGGAAAATAAAATATATGTTGATATTATAAAAAAAAAACATTTTTCTCTAAGTTTTGATCTCGGCATGTATTTATTTGTTCAAATGAGATGATCTATCTCTTTTGATCAACACAGTATGTTATAAATGGATGAAAGAGATACTAAACAAAAAAAATTCACTATTTCGATATCTTATAGTTTATTTTCTTTTCTTATTAATATCAAATGATCATACTAGTTATATAAACAAAACTATTCGTCTTTTCTATCATAATAAAAATAATCATAATTACATTTTATTCATACTTTCATCTTTCTTGTCATCGATGATTTGTTTATTTGTTATTAAATATGAAGACATTGACTTTTGATCAGTAATGAACTGGAAAACGGAATAGAAATGACACTAAATATATATCAATCTTGCGCGAACGTTTATCAATATATATATATATATAATTAAAGCGCTTTTATTCTTGATTATAATGAAACAAATCTTGTAAAACAGTTAACAATGTCAAGTGATCAATTAATTGAACGATGGTGTAAAGATCATGCAACACGTATGTGTAAAGAGAAATATCGAACTATTGAAAAGAATTAAATTTTAATATAAATAGCTACAACCGTTCAATGGCTTGTGGATAATTTTGAACCAGCTGAAGGTAGTTCAATACGTCGTTCAATTTTATATAATTTCTATCTTGAACATTGTCTTGGTCTTAAAGTAGAAGCACTTAATCCAGCTAGTTTTGGAAAATTAATTCATTCAGTTTTTCTTGGTTTAAAAACTCGTCGATTAGGCACTCGGTAATTATTCGACACAAACAAAAAAAATACAAACGCAATTTTTTTTATAAATATTTTCTTTTGTGAAACACGATGTATGAAGTATAGGGATAGAAATTTGGATTTATGCTCTTCCCACAGACGTGACTGATATCTTAACAATAAGTAAATTCAGACATATAAGGAGAGCGGCATATCACAGACGTGACAGTCACAATAGAAACGACTGATCATAGGTGTCTTAGCAACCCTCCTCTCCGCAGTTGATATCAATAACATCTCATTGTAATACTTCCATTTTGCATTTCTCGAAGAATGATAGCGAAGAAATGCATCCCAAAAAACAATTTCCTTGTGACAAGTAACTACATCGTCTTTCACATTTTAATTCTGAAAAAATTGTGCTACTACCTTTTTTCTTTTTGAATCTAAGAGGTAATTCAAAATATCATTATTATGGTATACAAGTTAAATCATCATCACCATTAATAAAACAAATGCCTTTTGATGGTGATTTATTAAATATACATTATGATTTTGATAATCAATCAATTCATTTGAATATGTCACCTAATGAAGATATTTTTTCACCATTATCTACACAGATTAATAATAATAATAATAATAATAATTCATTAGTTGAATTTTTATTTCCAAATGATACATTATTAATATCAAATGAATTACCATCAGAAATAACAATGAATGATATAAAAATTTTTCAAAAAACTCATAATGATTATTCAACAAAACTTTATCAAGCATTTTTAAAATTTCAATATGATTTTATTGAAAAATTAATTCAACAATTTTGGTCACTTACAAATATACATTTATCACAAACAAACGATTTAACAAATAATGGTATCATATTTTGTTTTTTTTTTTTGTCTTCAAAAGTACACTTTTTATTCATTATATCGAACATATAAGAAACAATTAAATAGCAGCTGACAAAAATTTCTCAAGAACAGGAAACAAATCAGAAAAAATAGGATCATTTTTTAATCAACCGTCTTTTATTTGATCTCTTTCATCAAATTCAATAGTCTGTGACAAATAAAAAGATAAGGGATGAACAGAAAGTTTCTAGACAAAATATTTGACTAGTTTTCACGTATTTAAATATATTGAAAAAGAGTCAGATATGTTAAAATCAGAATTTTTCTGCTCTTTCAGAATAGATACTTAGCGTTTCGGCTAATCTTGACAAAACTTTAAAAAATTTCTTGAAGACAAGTCTGCTTTCTGTAAGGATCAAATATGTTCTATATTTATACAGTACTTGAGAGTGATATCCACTTTACAAAATGAAGAGTTTTAATTAATCCGTCAAAAAATGGTAGAATGGTGACGGCAGGTCATTTTGCTCTGAAAAGGTCAAAATCGAAAAAATAGACTTTATAAATGTCTTTACTGCACTCTAACAGTTTGCAAAAAAATTTTATTCAAATATACCATTTGGTAGATAATTAGTTTCTGTATCTTCCAATATATTTGATAAAATTTTTGAAACTTTTTAATATTCACTTATAGCTCAAAAGTCACAGAAAATATTCTAAAAGAGCACAAAATTCTGATTGTAATACACTACCAATGCATTTAAATACACGAAAAATAATTAAATGTTTTGTCTAGAAACTTTCGGTCCATCGCTTATTTAACAGATGGAATTGTTGAAACCGATTGACCGGTTGTTACCGGTGTGTCTTATTTATTTTTGCTCTTGTTATCTGATGGAGGATGTGTAATGAAACTTTGTGTCGGTCGTGACAGATCTAGATCGGTTTCATCTCTGTCTTAGTTGAACGATGTCATTATTGAGCTTAACACGTACGCTCATAGCTAATGAGATTTTTATCAAATAGACGTCTTGAAGAAATGTGAATACAAAAAATTTTTTTCTAATATTTTTCATTTTACATTATGAAATTCAATTTAAATTTTTAACTTTTCGAAGATAGATCTCTATTTTGTTTAATGTATAAAAATTTTTTTTCCTTTATTTAAGATCCAATGATAATTTGGAAATTTAATCGTATATGTACATTACCATTTATTTTTGATCAAATTCGTTTATTTTATTCAAAATTCTATCAAACAATAATTGATAGTTATTTTCCTAATGTTCTTACATCTCTAACACAAACAACAATTGTATGTTTTGATTTTTCTTAAATTTTCTATTTTGTTTCTTTCTTGTATATATAAAGGAAGCTATTCGTACAATAGCAAATAATATATCATATTGGTTAATACATGCTATTGAACATTTATATGATCCATTAAAATCTATATTGATTCAATATACTCAAGCATTTAGTTCAATATTATTACGTTATACATCATTAAATCATTTATCATTAACTGTTCAAACAATGTTTTTACAATCATCACGTTTAATAACAATGTCAAATGATTTAACATATATAAATTTTAATGATTTACATGAACAAATAAATTGGTTAATTGAATGTGATTTAAATTTATTTATTAAAATTGAACAATGTTTTAAAAATTTATTTCAATGTCAAACAATGTTAACAATAAATAATTGGACAACATTTATTGATACATTATTAGATGATTATTTAATTTTATATAATAATACAAAAGAATATATATATAATGCTAGACAATTTTTATTAAAAACAAATTTTTATTGTACATTAATATTACGTGAATTAACATTACATTATGGTACATCACTTGGTTCATTTCATTTATTACAATTATTTATTGAAGAATATCTTTATTATCGTATTGAACAAAAAATATCAATATATTTAAATCAATCCATAATTAATTTCGTTATTGAAAATATAAATAATGAACAACAACAACAACAACAACAAAAATATTTAATTAATAAAAATTATCAATATTTTTTTAATGATGATGATCTAGATGATGATTTTGAAAGTTTATCAGATGATTTTAATGATCATAGAAATATTCTTAAACCATTATCACCTGTTCAAATTGATGATTTTATTTTACCAAATGAAACAATAACAAATTCATTTTCATATATATTTGAAGATTTACAACCATTATCAAATGAAATCTTTTGAATAGAATATTTTATTGAAAAAAAAAAGGAAAAACGATAGATCATTTATTTTTTGAAATATGTTCTTCTTCTTCTTCTTCTTCTCATCTGTTTCTCATCAAGCAAATCTCTTTTTTTTCTTTTTTCGTTTTGTTCCTCTGCCATTGTATAAGTCAATTAAATTTATGATCGATGAGTATTATTTCATTTTAATATCGAACTTATCATTCACGATACCACACCAACATGTCAAAAATGATCATTATCATCTTCGAAATAAACTAACACATAGGATGCATACATAAGTCACATTCGCAGCATGTTAGTTTGATTTTTTTGTATTTGTGTGTATATTCTTTTCAAACTATAGTGACCTTTACTTAGACATTTCATATGTTAACTCAATCGATAGATTATTAATTGTTCAGTATAATAACAAGTATGAATCTATAGTGATAATCCGAGATGAGTAACAATTTGCATGTCTCACATCTGCAGATCATTGCTGCTGTTTTTACTGGTTATGTCTTATGTTTATATTATTGTTCTTTCACATATATACGAGAATGCATACGCACGTTTATACTCAAATGTCGACTCGTCTTGCTTTTCTCCTCCCGGCTAGATAAACAAGTGCAGTTAACACTAATTCATACTTATTTTTCAAGCATTTCAATTGACTTATCTCATTCTTTTTTTTTCTTCTTCTTCTTCTTCAAAATCTGTTCTTTCGATTGAACATCATCATCATCAGCTGTCGACACATGCAGTTGTCCATAGAGACTCGTTTATATATATATATACACAGTAGAATAATGATACCATCAAGGTTTGATAAGAATTAGACAAGTCAATGTTGTCGTTTTCAAATATGGTTAAATAAAATAGAATGAATGGAGAAACAAGAATAAGATCGAATAACAATCTTATCATTGATCTACTCATCACTTCACTAGAAAATTTAACAAATTAAGAATTCCCTAATGAAAAATTCTGATTAAAAAAAACAAGAAAGAAAGTCTTCTTATCAAATCCATTTTGGTAGCGTTTGTATATTGCATTATCAATATTCCAGATGAAGCTCTTTTCTATTCGAATTTAACAAATCCGAAGATGTTTTGATAATAAATAATTTTAGGGCACCTATCTTCGTTTCCCAAGAACGGCTCGACTAACAATTCTGAAACTTTCAGGATACATAGATCTCAATTAGTAGAACAAAAGTTGTCATAGATTCAGAATTCCATTCATATTTTTTGTAACAACTAGGACCATTCAGAGTGTATATTTCTCTTTTTCTTTAAAAAATCTTGTTTCCTTTGCTTAGAAAAACCAAAATACTGGAACCCTTGCCTTACCTGGGGTAAATTTTGTAAGATCTGCGAAAAATCCCCAGAACATTATTTTAAGAAAAACAAAAAAAAACATACACTCCGATTTGATCCTAGTTATCACACAAAAAATTTCAACTCAATTGAGTGAAGCATTTGGAAGAAAAGAGGAAAAAAACTTTAATTTTTCTGCTCAAAAATTGATTCGGAGAAAAATGCGGAACAATGTATGGTTTTCACTAATTTGATTTCTTCTCGAATTTTTGTAACGTTTAAAGACAACTGTTAGATCCCAAGCTAACTGAACTAATTCATAATTCATACGGAAAATAAATTGCTTTACACTCACACATGTTATCTTTTAACATATTTCAATACAATTCAAGTCCAATTGGACAAAATGTCTTTGCTTCCTATTCTCCTCTTAATTATGGAAAAAATGCAGTCTACTAAATAGAAAAATATTAATTTCTCACAACGTTATTTCAATAATATTTGTCTGCATACAATACATATATTCTTTGTGTCGTGATTAACACACCTACACACCACTAGGTTAGAGTGAAGACTGTATCCTCCAATATAAGCAGATACCTTTCCGATAGTTGCTGAAAGTCATACATAGCAAAATTCATGTTATTCCAATGTTGACTCTATTAGATCAATATCTGAATATGTGTCTAGGTAATACAAGAATAAAACGAGAATACAAAATTAACATAGATTTCTTTTGTATTATATTTTTATATAATTGTAACATTCTTTTTTTTCTTGACTTCTTTCTCTGCATGATATAGAAAACAAAAAAAAATCAAGAATAAATTCTTTAGATCTTCATTCGTCAAAGAAAGAACAACAACAACAAAAACAGAAAAAGAACAACAATATGATGAGAGAAAGCTATAATAATTAAAAAAAAATTTTTGACAAGATGAAGAAGAAAAAAAACTCACACCCTGTGGAGAGAGTTGATTATATACATATTGTTAGTTTTCTTGATAATCATCAGGAGAAAATGATCCATTACTGATCGATGTCTGTTGTCCATTACTTGTATTACCATTAGCAGACCAAGCACCTTCCATACGCCATACACTAAATGCATAACTTAATGTACGTTCATTTTGTTGTGATGATTCAGTATCAAGTGTATGTTGTTGTTGTTGTTGTTGTTGTTGTTGTTGTTGAAGTTGTGATGTTGAATTTTGTTGTGTTGATGATATATTTGATGATGAAGCTTGTTCTTCATCTGTACGTAAAATTTGATAAAGAAAATCAATATAACGTGTTGCTAATTTTAATGTTTGAATTTTTGATAATTTATCTGATGGTAATGTTGGAATAATATGACGAAGATGTGCAAATGCATCATTTAATGATTGTGTACGTTGTCTTTCACGTACATTAGCAATAGCACGTTGATTTTGTACATCATCTTGTGACATTGTTTGCTGTTGTTGTTGTTGTTGTTGTTGTTGTCGTCTTTTAGATGATAAACGATGTGATGATGATGATGATGACGTTGAAGGATATGGTTGATTATTTAATCGACGTGCTAAACGTGTTGTACGACGTGTACGTCGTTGAGGATTTGTATTATTATTATTATTATTATTATTTGATGAATCTAATAAATGATTTTCATTATTTAAATTATTTGTTGATATATCAAGATAATTTTCATCAATATGCATTGGTGTTGATGGTGAACTTAAACTTGAATCACTACCACCACTACTCATTGATGTTAATGGATAAATTGTTAATGGATATTGTTGACTATTTGTTGATGTATATTCACTTTTAATAAATGTATTTAAAAATGGTTGATGTTGAAGAAGTGTTGATGATGAATTTGAATTCATAGGAGACGAAGACAGAAAAAATTCTATTTTATTTTAATAACTAAAAAAGAAACAAAAATTTTTTTTTAGTTTTTATTTTTATTTTTATATTCTTTTGTTTGATAAATAAAAATTCTGAATTAAATTATTATTACTTCTATCTACTATTATTCTGATGATCTTAATTGTTAATTGAAACCATATTATATTGTATATTATATGATTCGGAGAGTTTTCTTTCTTTATTCATTTCACTTGCCTGTTTATGTTTGATATTTGCTTGTCAGATGTAAACGATTAGGTTCATCTGGTAAACATCTTGTATGAAGATCTTCTCGTTTTTTTTTGTTCTTGTTTCTTGATGTTGTTGGTATAAGCCTGGTGAGTACACAACACAGGGACAAATGCAATACAAGTATAACCAGTAGTTGTTTCGCACACGTCTTCAATTAGATATGCAATATAGATGCCTTTTTTTTTTTGCCTTTTAGTCTTAGACGAGAGAGGAGAAACAAAAAAAAATGTTATTCATTTTTCTTCTTCTCTCCGTTGCTGATTGGTCAATTGAGGAAAAAAGAATACTGGAGCATTCCTTTATGTGTCTTAGATGGAGATTACTAGAACATCGATATAATAGGAATTAATATAAGAAAGAAGAATATTCTATTGGTGCTAACGTCAATGAAGGTTTTTTTGATTAGCCAATCTATATGTAAGACATAACGAGAGAGAGAGAGACAGAGAGAAATATTACATTTTATCCTAAATATAGAACAATAATATCATTTGTATTTGAAAACTGACAGAAAAAAAAAGAATTTTTTTTTGTTAATGAATATGAGAATAGAATAAAATTTTTGTCATTGTTTTCTTGATCAATGTAATGATTTGTTATATTGATTCATGTACAACAATTGACATGTCTCATTAACATAAATTGTAGTACCATTGATTCCTTTCATCTACAATATACAGATACATATATTGAGATACATTTGTTGTCCATGTGTGTATATTTAAGTAAGCTAAGACGATGACATTAATTTGTTCTATATGTATAATGAAAAATATTCTTTTATCTTGGTTTTATTTTTCAAGATTTATCTTTGAATAAGAATAGTCTTTTTATTTTAAGGAAGCATATGAAAATTGAGAAGATAACAGTGAATTTTTATTATTTACTGCCATTAATGGACAATGGACATTAAGAGAAATAAATAATATTTTATTTTCTAGAATATAGGTGTCGAGAAAAACTATTGTATGATTTATTGTTTAATTATGTAGTAAAAGAGTAGACAGTGGTATTATTATGTGATGTTATTTATTCTTTAATTAATGAGGGCTAGTCATCTATAAAAAGTTGGTGATAGAAAACAAAGATAAAACGTTTGTTTGTAATGAAAACAGAAATTATTTTGTTGAATATATGTACTAGTCGTTTTAATTATTGTTACTTCCTTATAGATCAGTGGCGAAGTCAGGATTTAAGGCTGACGGGGAAGCTAAGCTCCCTCTGGCCTCCATGACTCAGCTATTGCTATGAACATATAGAATATCTGCAATGATTGAATATTGTAGCTATATTTTTTTTATTTCTAAGATAATTTATTTGATGTTTGAATGTTCAATTGCGACTTCATGGAAAGAAGATTTATTTATTTTTAGAATCAAATTTTGCATGGTTTTTACGAGCGAAATATGCCAATGATGCAATACAAGAAATTAAGATATACTACAATTGTACTCTTTTCTAATGAGATAAAATCTATTTTGTATTTAAAGACATCTGGTATCAATAGTTAAAAATTTTTCGAATCATAAACTTTATTTAAATCATCTTTGTTTGAATACTTTTAATAATAAGATTGTTATGGCATTCATAAATGTTAATGAATAATCGAAAGCAATTTTTGTCTAGCAAATTTTTTAATTTCAATTATCATTCTCTTCATTTCTTTATATTCTTGTCAAGCGTTTTATATCAATCAAAAAATTCTTTTTTTTAAATCATTTTTAATTCGCTTGAGTTTTGTGTAAAACTTTCGGAAACGATCAAATATTTAGAAATACACTCATTCTACAACTGCTTTCTTCTTATTGAATCACATACATTATCAACAAATCATCATCGCCTTAAAGTTTCTGAGAGTAATGTATATCCTATACTCTCGTAATCTCTTTATTCTTATTATATTTATGATACTCATAAGATGCAAAGTAAACAAATAATTTCGTCTTGTGTTTTAGTTAAAATGCTCCGAACGTTTATAATAGTAATTTAAGCGTCGTGAACAATATCTCTGTAATCAATATTCAGTAATCTAAATTGTTGATGTTACTATCGATGTGTCAATTTCAAATTCTATGCAATGAGACAAACAAATATCTACACAATAAAGTCTTGTTTGAAGAATTTAACTGAAAGAACTGAATAGATATTTTTAATACAATGGTTTTTGTAACGTAATAAAGTATTAGTTTGTTTTTCTAATAATAACATTATTATGCTGGTTGCTATTTGATTCAAGTGGAGTTATTCTGCTTATTCATTTCACGACCATACTGTATATATCAAATTGATTCTATGTCAATAATCACGGATATATAATAAAACATTTTGTTGAATATACTTTCAGAAGGATATTTTCTAAGTGTATATAAATATACAATGGCTTCCAAAATTATTCGACCAGGTTTGTTTTCAATTTTTTTCTACTGTCGTAAACATTAATAAAACTCTAAATAGTGATTTGTGTAGAGAATTTTATTTCTGAGAAAAATTTTCGAATATAAAATTAACTGCTAATTTTCCAAGGATAGGATCTACAAAAAACTAAAAACTAAGTTTTTCAGCTACGATAATTGGTACATAGAATTCTGTTTAAATTGCTTAGAATGATAGAGCAAGCAATTTTCTACAAAATAAAACGTCTTCATTTGTTCTACGACGTTTTTTGGCCGAAATACATCAATTTTACACAAGGTACCAAAGTCATTTTTTTCTGCAATTTTGTATAGAAACATGATTTTTCTGGCTTTCGTAAGGTTGATGTATGTTGATCTAAAAACGTTGTAGAGCGCTGAAGAACTCCTTTGTAGAGAATTGTTTGTTCTATCATTCTGTGCAACTCAAACAGAATTCTATTTGCAAATTCTAGGAACTGTAAAGCTTGATTTTTGGTTTTCCAAAGATCTTATCCATGAAAAACTAGTAATTCTTTTTATCTTGGAAAATTTTTCTTGAAAATAAAATTCTCTAGAAAAATCATTATTTGAAGTCCTTATTAGCATGTAAAGTAGCAGGAAAAAAATGAAAATAAATCTGATCGAATAATTTTAAGAGCCACTGTATATCGAGTTGTAAGGTGATGCTTTGACTGACAGCTCAAATTGTTTGGATGATATTTTCAAATCTTTTCTTAGTTTCGAGGAATTGTGGAATAGAAAAGAGAAAGATGATGATAGAGAACATCCTAATAAGAAACTAGATTAGAAGAATCCTTGAAAACTGATCTTGGGGTGTCCAAGATCTGCGAAAGTCTAGTATATATATTTATGTTGCGGCGACGGTGGCTCAGCTTACACCTCTAACCGTAGGTATATGAATTACTCAGACATTCACAATTAATATATTATTATTTACTTTTGTCATTGTAATTTTAAGATTCGTAGTAATAAAATTTTATTTCATTTGAAATAAGTGATTAGCGAAAAAAAAATATTTAAAATTATATTTTGCTCTCATAAATGTCACAACCTTTTTTGATAAAAAAAAAACCAGTTGAAACAATGTTTTAAAAAAAACTGAGCAATGAAGGAAAAAAAAGACAATTTAACATCAAAGAAAAGAACACATACATACACTTCAGAGATTTGAAAAACTATATATAATTTTATTTATGATTTTTTGTTTCACTTTTTATCTAACGGTAAATAAAGTTGTTTAAGAATACGATTAACACGTTCCATAGCATCTGGTTGATGTGTATTTTCATTAGCAATAGTCATTGATCGTTCTCGTAATACAGATTCAATTGTCGCTAAAGGTGGTTGTGCTAAATGATTATTACTTTTTTGTGAAGTTGATCTTTTTAGATTTACATTATTATTAGTATTAACTGGTGGCATTTTTGTATTCATTCCAGTATTAGTTCGTAATAAAGTTGTTTCATTTTTTGAAAATGGACGAAGAAGATTATCATTTACAGTATATAAACGATGATGATTAACACCATTTGAATCAATTGATGTTTCATATGAATATTTATTTGATGAATCTATCATTGATACATCACTATTATTTATTGATGAAGGAAGAACTAGAAGTGGTGATGTACGATTTGCTAATTCCATAAGATTAGGCATTGTAAGAGTTGATGGTGATAAATTAGGCAAACGATCATTTTCAGTAACATTTGATGATTTATTTTGATGTTGACGACGATGTACATTGTGTAGTCGACGTTGTGGTAAATTTTTAAAAATTGCTGTTTGTGATCCAATTGTACCACTAATTGTTGGAATCAATTGATCATTTGATGGAGATGGTAAATCATTTAGAGTTAAAGAAACAAACGAAGCTGTTCGTTTAGTTGGTGCATTATTTATTGTTGTTGTTGAGATATTTGGATCAATAATTGTTGATGTTTCCATTTGTGAACGTTCTCCTATAGAGAAAATAATTGAATCTTCTCGGTAAATTCAAAGATTGTTTATTTTTTTTTTTGGCCTACCTGGTTCAATATCAGTATCACCATCATCTGTCTAGAAATATTTTAATATATGAATAGATATTTTAATAAAAAAAAAACAAAGTCGTTACCGATTGTCGCTCAACCAGAGAATCTTGTAAACCTGAATTGCATCTTTTCTAAAATAAAAATAAAATCAATTTTAATTTAAATATTTAAAATAATTTAACCTGTCTTCGTTCTAATGCTCGTTCAGTAGTAAAAATTGGTAAACCATGTCCACTTCGATTAGCATATTTACTTGTAAATAGAGTACCTCTTGGTGGTAATGTACGAGCTGCTTTATCCATCTAAATTAAAATTTACAATAGATAAATATAAAAAAATTAGATTAATATTGTCTAAGCGAAAGCGTGAGGTATATATTGGTATGATGTATGTGAAAGCAACGCATTTAATACAATATTGAGCTTTTAATTAGGTAGGTGCAAAACTTGATAAAAAAAAAGCCAATTGAAATATATACATATTTAAATGGTATCCGAGAAGTTCTGAAATACTTTTAAAATTTATTGTTTTTAGTATTTAGCAAAAGTAAACTCTTTGTAAGTTTATCAGATTATTGTATTTACCTACGAAGAAACTTCTTCATCTGTCTCCTTTCGATTTCAATGATGTTTTTGCATATAGATATTACATAGTGTTCTAATAGAAAACTTTGTTTACTACTAAGTAGATACAATAATCTGCGAGAGTTGTAAAGAGTTTACTTTTGCTGAGAAGAAGAACGAGAAATTTTAAAATTATTCCAGAACTTCTAGGGCACCCTTTGTATATATATGTGTGTGTGTGTGTGTAATAGTTTTTTTTTGTTTTATTTTTTGAACCTGGTCAACGGCAAGTGTAAGTTTTAATTGTGAATTCATATCAATTTCTGATGCATATTGATAGGTCACACGCGTTCGACGATTGGTATCATTAGTACTATTAATACCATTAGTACCGTTAATACCACTAGATTCTTCGTTTGTCTAATAGAATAATTATTTGACATTGGTAATAATGACGAAACGAAATAGACGATTAAAAAAAAGAAGTAAAATTCTCACCGGAACAAGTGTTGTCTTGAGAGGTTGCGAACGATTAACCTAAGTGTGAGTACAAGGGATTTTACTTAGTTTGCTTTACATTATCTCATTGGAATAGCAAAGAGGGTGATTCTATTGATGAAGGACAAAAGATTGTTTTTCTTTTGTATATATTTTACCTCTCGTTTACGAGCTACTCTTTGAACACGTTCTTCAATAATTTTTTCTGGTCGTTTCTTTTTTGATTTTTTCTTTAGTGATGGTTCTTCCTTTCGATATGGAATATCAGGTAACTCACCACCTTCAGGATCACTATCTGAATCGCTCGAACTATTTAGAAAAGAAGGATATAAATTTAAATTTCTTTTTTTTTTGTTTTATAAAAATAAAGAAATAACTAACCTTGTTGCGTCTTGTTCATTAATAGTATCATGACATTGTGCTAATACTTGTAAACAACTAGCAACTGAACTGATTGATATTTGTGGTTCATCAGTTTGTTTTTCTTCTATAATATTAAATGAATTATTTAATCAAAAATAAATCTTCTGGATTTATCTTACCTGGATAAACAACAGGTAATAAAGTAGGTGGAATTTTTTCTTTTCCTAATTTACGAAGAACACTTTTTGTTATATCTAAAAATATTGAATCCAATCGTCTAGAGATAAATAAATTTATTTTTTTTTTATCAAATAAATATATAAGTAAGTTTCATCATACGTCGAATCAGAAAGAATATCTAAATATTGTCTTAATGATTGACATATACATTGTCCAAATTTTTCATAATCTTGAATATTAAAATGACATGATTTTTCTCTGTAATAAGCAAAAAGCTATGTCACTTTATATATTTATTATTATTTAGAATAGAAAAAAACAACATACACAATACTTGATCCAGCAAATGAAGCTTCTAATGTAAAACTATTTTTTATTAACATTTCTTTCCACATAACAACACGTCCTGTCGATTCTTTACATCGATGTATATGAAATTTACAATAATCAAATGCAAACATTTCCGGTGCCTAGTATACAAAAGAATAAATTATTTATTTAATATCAATAAACAAATTCCTGCGTTTAATCATTCAGGACATCAGAAGTTTTCTGTCCTACTCCTAAAGTTTATATGAAAATGCTATTAGCGCAATCTCTACAGGATTAAAAGGTGAAACACAATGTACTATTTTATTCGATCTATTATGGAACACATTTCTCCACTATCTTTTCACTTAATCCTCCAGAAAAGTAACCTGTATCTCAATCCAGAAGTATTTGTGATAACTGAGTGTATGTCGCAGATATAGAAGAATATTCTCTGAAATTCTCGTCGATATTGAATAAGTAGATAACGAAAACATTTTTCTTATAAATCGATAGACCAGATGTCCTAGTTTCAGATTTGATATAATTTATTGTCCAATTCTTTTTATTTTTCACAAACAAATGATGTTTTTTTTCTAAAAGTACCAGCAGTGTCCAAGGACTGAGAAATAGGAATTCCTAATTTGCAGAGGAATTGTCAGTATAGCTATGATAATTCCTTGGAGAAATGGGAATTGACCATTATTTCCATCAAAGTTCCCTCATTCATGAAAGTCAAAAGAATGCTTTTTTGCAATAATTTTCGTATTCATACGTTAATGTGCACAAATTTCTTGATGAAAACGAGTGTAAGAGTAATAAGTACCGTGGATATTGTATTTTTTAAATTTTAGCATTCAAGGAAATGTCAGGGAACTGAGTAGGAATTCCTATTTCTCAGTCCTTGGACACCCCTCTTAGTAGCTAGGACAAAATTTTCTTTTAACAAGAAAACTAGTCGTTAATCAAAGTGTATAAATTACTAATCAAATCTCGAAAAAAGCTCACTTTCATTTTTCATCTAATGTCCACATTGTTGCTCACTCTCGGAGAGGCATTGCTAAGACATCTGCTACAGTCTATGAAGAGGGAGAAGATACAAATTTCTATCCCTATACTTCAACACTTCTTTTAGATCGTATTTCACAAAAGTAGAAAAATGCATGCTTGTTTTGATAAGATGCACCATCAAAAATGAAACTTTTTCAAAAAGTTTCTGTCATGTGACAACGATATTATCGATTCCATCTGACTAGCTTTTCCAATATATGAACAGTAAGAACAATTGAGCGAATACTATTTTAGGTTTTTTTTTTATTCGAAAACATAAATTATTTTGTCTAATCTATAAGTTAAAGAAAATAATCTAAGACATTGGTAATATTAATATTAAAACAATTAGTTATCGAGGGTTTTACAGACCCATTCAAAAATCGATATAAACCAACGCGAACATTGTCTTATATTTTCTCGACGGAAAAAAATGAAAAATTCTGTAAACTATTTAATCTATTCAAACAGAAATCTAATCAACGATAACTTAATTTTATATTTTTACATGATATAAATTCTATCTATCCTTACCGTTTTCGCCATAATATATGGAAGAATGCGTGCATTTAAAAATTTTTTCATATCTGGTTGTGGTCCATCACATCCATCACAACCATAAGCAAATACATTTGATTTACGACTATGACCATGAAGATCACAAAAAGCTAAAATCTAATTAATGAAAAATTCAATACATTTTCATTGCTATCAAAACTTCTTATATATATATATATATACTTCATGTTGTTCTTTTTGTAAATTTTGCATTAATTGTTTAACATGATAAATTGTTGGAAAAGTTTGTTTACGTGGATGACGAAAATTACGATTCATATCTTTTCCTGTTAATGAACATCGATAATTACCAATAATAACACCATCAGGATTGAGCATTGGTACAATTTTAAATATTAATTGTGAACGTAATTTCTTTGAAATAAAATAACAAGTAATAATGAATTTATTTATCTTAGAAAAAAAAATCTTACTTGAGCTACTTTATCATCTGATGTTATAAATTCAAGTACACCACGCATCATATAACTTGAATTTGTTTCACCGGGATGTATTCGTGCTGTTATAAAAACAATTTTTTTTTCGCTCATTGGTACCGCTAAAGTCCATAAAAATATTATTTAAGACAAAAATAAAAAAACAAACATTTAAATTTGTTTTTTTTTCTTAATCATACATTCATCAGTTACAGTTATCATAAAACATGAATTTCCTGCTTGAGATTCACATAAAATATCACGACGAAAAACTTCTTGTGATCTTATTGATGATAAATAATCTAAATCATTTTTGAGATCTGTAAATGTATATGGATAACAATGTGCTATGTAACATGTATCACCCGTATGAACAAATTCCTATTAAAAAAAAATATATATTTCGAAATATTCTATTGTTTGTATTGACGTACGAGTTGAAAATCAAGTTCAAAATAGTTAATATCTCGTTCAAGTAAAGGATTATAAGTGCGTTGTTTATATTCTGAATAATTGATATGATGACCAACACGATGCCAACCTCGTAGTTCTTTTTTACCGGCCACATCAGAAAAAAGAAGAATTTGCATACCTAATGAAGAAAAAAGACAGTCGAATTGAGATTCTTTATTGGATGACAAGAGCAGTTTTCTTTTTTGCTTGTTATAAAATTATTTATTCTTTATAGAAATTTTAATAAAGAAAAGTATTTTATTTGAGATCCAACAAAAAAGATCGTTTTTTTTTTGTTCTTAAAATGTATAAAAGTAAAGGCAAGTATGCTTCGAGCATTAATAGTAGTAATAAAAATTAACTTCATTCTTGCAATAGTGTCAATGGCTTATGGGGAAATTTACAGAGTTTAATATAGTTGACTAACTATAGATTGTTTTTCTGTCTTTGTATAGTTTCGTTTATGATTAAGAAACTTATTTTTAACAATTTCATCTTGAATCAAAATGTTTTCTTTTTTTTTTTTTTTTTAAAGAAGAATTACTTTAACATAGAATATTTTCTTTTACTTCTGGCGTAGGTTTTTATTGTCGAATAATGATTGAAATCAAATATTTACATAATCGGTCGTATTATTTGGTTTAGAAGTATTGATTCAAAATTATATATATACTATTATTAATGAATGTTAAATTGATTGGCAAAAGATATAGAGAATATTTGATATGACTCTATTTAAGACGGAGCCTATATGTTTCTCTAAATCAATATTTTCATTTTAATAGTCTAGAAAATCAAAAATAATCAATACTTATTGAATTAGAAACAAAACAATTTTATATCGAATATAATAAGCATCTTGCATCTTTCAAAATTTTCCTTTTCTAATATCGAATCTATCGGAAAATCATATGAAAAAAACATTTCTTAATACTATATTGTCAATAATTAACATATGTAAATTTTCATTCCAAAAACAAAAAAAAATAAGAAAATTTAAGATCAATAGAATATCATTAACCAAAAAAAAATCAGAAGTATTTTCATTAATTACCTTCATTATATAGACTACTTTTTTTCACCAAATTAATAATTCGAAAACGATACGTTATATTAGCAATCATATTTTGTACACGAAAATAATACCATTGTGTATGTCGTGTAGTATAAAGATCAGGTCGAAGAACAAGTTCATATTCAAATTGACCTCTAGATAAATTTTAGATAATTATTTAAAAAATTATTTAAGTTTTACTTACACACGTTTAACTTGTCTTAAATTTCCACCTTCAAAACGTGATTCAAATATTAATGATGGACACATTTGTTCACTTTCATTTGTTTTAGGTTGTTGTTGTCTTGGTGATTTATCCATATCATAAACAAGAATTGGATGTTTAAGAACATCAGTATATTTAAATATAGCTGGTTGATTATCGAATGTTTGCTGATGATTTGTACCTAAAAAATGATTTTCATGTGAATGATAATATTCTTTTAAACGATATTTTTTTTCATCTCTTGTAAAAGGTGAAAATGTTGGTGTTGGATGTTTTATAGGGAAGGCCATAGGCCAAAATGGACCACTATCATCAACACATATTCTTGTTGCACGAAAATAATAAACTGTTTTAATTGTACCATCATTTGATTTGAATTGTTGTTGTTCATAAACACGACTACGTAATTGTAAGTTTGAAAAAAGATTTTTACTTGAATTAATTATATGACCATGTGGTAAAATAATTTCTTCTTCATTTTCATTATTATTCGTATTAAAACTCTGTGTAAATTCAGTATCAGAACGAAAATTTATCAAATTTTTAGCTTTTGTTGAAAGTACCAATGAACTTGTTGGATTGTTTAGATTAAAATCTTCTCGAGACCAAATTGATTGTCCAATACGCATTGTCTTTTTTTTTTGTTTCTTTAACAATTATTTTACCTTGCACATAGATGTAAAATCAATCATCTAGATTTTTTAACATCTACTTAACATAAAAATGAAACGCAAAGAAAAAGTGAGAAGAATAATAAAAAGCAAGCTTTTTGCAACCAATAGATCGTTACCGATTCAAAGACAAATATAAAAGAAAATTATTTGTTACTTATAAAGACATTCTCAATTTCTTTGCTGTTCTTCTTTTCTTCTCTTGTTACTATTTTTTTTAACTTACTTGGCAATAATGAATTTGTGGCTGTAATATAAAATTCTTTAGGTGTCAATTCGCGGCTAAGTAATTTTGGTGTTGGATGAAGAATACGAAAATCATGTGGCCAGAATGGTCCATCCTCACTAATAATAATTCCATATTTATTGACATAAGGAGTTGTATTCTCACCGTTAATTGTTCGTTGATCAAGTTTATTTAAGATATCAGCTTTATTTGATTTAAGAATACTATTTCCATATAAAAATGATGAATCCTTATTAATTGAAATTATTGGTGCTCGTTTGCCATGAAGATTTCGTAAATCAAATACTGAATCATCTAATAAATGTTCATCATTTCGATTTGATAAACTTCGTCGACGATGACAAAGATTAGTATATGATTCGAAATTAAAACTATTGCTAGACAATTTATTTCTTTGATAATCAAATGGTGGAAGATGATTTTGTGTTCCATACGATTCTTTTGCATTAAGTGGATGAAGAACACGTTGATTACGTCGATCTATTTCACTCCATGGATCATTGTGATGAGCATTTGTTTCGATTTTTTGTGATGAAGGATGTTTACCAGCTCTATTTATTGATAAAGATGAAGACGATGAATTCGAAATACTAGTGATCTTGTCAATTGTTTGAGAAATAAAATTAAAAATTTGACTATTTAATTGAGAAACAAAGTATGAAAAAGAGGCAATTGAATTTTCTTCATCTTCTTTTTGTATCAAATGACAATAGTTTATCATCACAGATTTCTAATTAGACTGAAAACTACGCATTAATTGTTTTTATTTAAAAATAAATTTCTATTTTCGTTTGTATTAAGAAAACATATCAAGTAACTAACTGCTTTTCTTTTTTTACTAGATAGTATTCTCACTTGTTTATGCTCTTATCTAAGTATCAATCACTTCTTCTGTATCGACATTGCAAAATGATTTTCGAAAGCATTTTTATGAACAAACGAAGTAGCATTTTGAATATTTTTGGATTATTAAATTCCAAGAGAAAGCAGCTAATATTTGATCACAGAGAATACTTAAGCTAAATTACCCTTCATTTTTTTTGAATTGGAAAATAATTCATCAAAACTTAACAGTATCATATGTCTATATGGACAGGACACCAGGATCGTCCTGTCTTGTGTTCATCTCTGATAGATGTTGAATTGGCTTCCTTAGTTATTACCTCTTCTAAATTGTTGCAGCTACTGACTATCTAGTCTATCTTGAATACATCTCAACAACTAAGAGTCTGGGAGCCTTGTCTAAAGTGAGTACGTTTGACAAGCCTTAATTTCATTCCTCTTGCTTTGAAGTACATAATGACATTATTTTACATACTGCTCAAAAAACTATGACAGAAATTGACCAGACTAAACCATCTATGGAGTCAAAAAATTCATGACTTTTATATCAAAAACATGAAAAAAATGGCATTTCTGATAATGAAACGAACAAAAAAGTTGATGTTTTTCAAATTCATTGATGAAACAGCGACATTTTAATTAAGTAAATACAGTAAATTTCATTTTTAATAAAAATCACGCAATGAAATTAATGAAAATATCTATTTTAATCGATAAATTTGAGATACATCAATTTTTTGTTCGTGTCATCATTTTAATGACATTTTTTTTTGATATTTTAATTCCTCAGGGCATGACGATACTTTTTTATTCGTGAATTTAAACATTTATCACTAATATAGATAGAATTACTATCTACTATAGAAGCCACTAGATGACAAATAATGATTCCGATGTCATCAAAAAAGTTGACATATATTATTGTTTTTGATATCCTTAACAATAAATGTCACTTGGAAGACTAATTTTTCTCGCTGACATAAGCTTTGATAATGATTTTCATTCAATATTGTGATGGCAAATTTATTGTCTGATAATCATATTATACAAAAAGTGTTCATCACTTAGAAATTTCTTCAAATTTTTGAGAGCTCAAAAAAATATCGACATTGAAGCGATAATTCCAGGAAGTCAATTCACTACCTATCGTTTACTTCGAAAGGGTATCTGAAGAGTAAGTTAAAAGGATGAAATTTCCCATGGATTATCACAACAACTACCTCGAATATATGTTGTAGAGAGATGGATGGAATGTCGTTTTTCTAAAAGTCTGAGAACTTTATTGACTCAATCTTTTTATTGCTAATCATATTGAAAATACAAGACTTCTGTTTATATAAATTTGCTTAATTTTAAATAATGGAGGAAATGTTTGTTGTTCTATATTTTTAAAATAAACTTTGTTAATATAATAAACTAGATGAAGATTTTTTCTTGGTTATCATACCGAAGATATTGTCGACGTAATTTAGCTAAACGTTCTTGTCTTTCTGTTTCGTCAAGTACTTGTTGTACTTGTCGTTGAAGATCTTCTTCTAATTCTCGATGAATATTTGTACGCCATTGTTCATATGTATTTGTATCTAAAAATATAGATTCAAAAAAATTAAAAAAATAAATAAAGATAGATTAATCTTGAAATTTCGTGAATAGAAAAGGAAATTTCATTCAATGCTATTTCATTTCCTACCTTTTTTAGCACTTAGAGGTCTGTCAGTATTGATAGTAGTACTTGAGGATGGGCGGATTTGAGGTAGTTTAAGCAACGGAAGTTTCATTGAATCAGTCATTCTTTGAACAGTAGCTTTTATTTGTGTCGGTTTTTTTCTTTCACGATGTCAACATTTAAACAACAAGCAGAGTAACAGATGCTCTGTATTTTGTATAAATTTCTTTTCACTTCTTCTGTTGCTCACTTCGTCACTCAGTCGACACCACTTCACTTTGCAAGGATGCTGTTTTTTGTCTTATACAATTGTGCATGTGTACTGTTAGGCAAAAAGCTACTTTTTTTTTTTACTTTCAAAAAAAATAAATTGTGCAATGCTCGTGGCGATGTTCTAGATGGATACAAAACATAAATAAAAGACATTGCAGGAATGCTATTGTTTTTTTTTTCTTTGTCAACAGAAAGAAGAAAGGTCAAATACAGGGTGGCCCAAAAGTCACGCACCCAACAAAAAAAGTTGAATATCTCCATTAAGGCTTGAGCAAACGAGCTGATGTTTTTGTCAATGACAGAAATATGTTCAAGATTTATATCCATAAAGACAACCTTAGAGAAACCGTTCGCTAAGTATCGCTAATTATTTCAACAAAAAAATGTTACTTTTTCACAGATAAGAAAAAAAAACAATGTACTTGACAAAGGATCTTTCTAGGCATGCCTTCTTTATGGATATAAAGCTTGAATATGCCTCTATCATTGATAAAAAAATAAGCTCGTTTGCTCGAGCCGTAATCGAGATGTTCAATTTTTATTCTGTAAAGTGACTTTTGTACCATCTTGTATATTGGTTTTTCTCTATCTGTAAAAAAATAAAATTTTTTTGTTGAGATCATTGGTGATACTTAACGAATGATCTCTCTAGGCTTGTCTGTATGGATATAAACCTTGAAAATATCTCTATCATTGACAAAAAAATCAGCTCGTTTGCTCAAACCTTAATAAAGATATTCTGTTTTTTTGTTGAGTGCATAACTTTTAGGCCACCCTGTATATCTTGTATGAACAAGTGGTGATAATCAATGTAAGAATAATTGATATTTCTTTTTTTATACTTTTAACTTAAATCAATATACAAATATACAACATTCAATTAAACATATTAGAAATTTTACCTTGAAGATGTTTATAAAAATTTTGTTTTGTTTGTTCGGATAGACACAATTCAATGCTATCATATTGTTCTTGTATTGTTCCTTCTTCTAGTACCATTGTTTGCCATATGTCATGAAACATTGTCATTTATTTTCTTTTTACTCTTTCTGTCTTTTTGATAGACACCATAGTCAATGATCAGAAGCGAATGGAAAAAAAAGGAACTCTACCAATATTGTAAAAGAAAAAAAATCTATGATTATATCCTTGTCATGCAGCAAATGAAAAGCACTTCTGATACGAAATAAATAATTACATCATTATGATTATCATTTTGCTTACAATAGGCTTCTGTTCATATTCATTCATGGACTTATGTATTATATGGTATATTATTTGAACAATAGATTGAGTTTCTTTTTTGTTCTCTTCTTTTATCATTAGTAAAATTTATAAATCGATTGAAATTTAAGTTGACTTACAAGATGAGTATCAGTAAGATGAGAGATTATTCGAAATTTTACCTGCGATAATATTGAATAAGTGATCAGCAATGATTTATCTTTCTATTATCAACATAAAAATAAATTTTTAATTACTATAATTATATCTTTATAGAAGAAAAATCATCTATTGTTTCAGCATATTTGTCGTTATTTCTTTCTAATACAAACATTCAAAGATTGAATTTCAATTATTTTTTTTTGTCTGCGATTAATATTCAAAATTTCTACAGATCGTAGAACAAATTTAGGAATGAAAGAACGGCTATCGGGATTTATTTGAACCTATCCTATTATAGCATATAATACGTTTTAATTCTATCAAAAGCGAACTATAGTTCTAAAGAGTTAGTCTTCAACTTCAGCTAGATACCTGCCTTCAGTCTAGTTAACATATATAACGTGCTTTATAGAAAAAACACAATATTCCCTCCAAAGAAAAGAAATCCCAGAATCTGCTTGAATCATTCACTCTAGTTAATAGCAAAAAAAAAGCTAGTACCATCTACTTAGTTTTTATTGAACTATGCGTTTTGTTTTATTTCCGAGATTACGTTTCATCAATATATCTTTTGATTTTTGGTAACTAAGTAGTTTTTTATTCGATTGATTTTTTATTGTATTACATATAATTCAAGATCAAATTGCACTTATTAAAAAGTATTCGAAGTTTATAATTTGATTTTTAGTTAAGAAAAGTTTATTTGATAGATAACGAGATAAAAACTCTGTTTTCGAAAATAGAAGCAGACATAAAATGATCCGTCATAAGTCGATATTCTTAACATTGTTCATCAATATTTCTATTTGACAAAATGTCGAGTATCGATCATAAACATAACCTTTTATCAAATAGTACGAGCAATTTTTTATAGTGAATAATGCCTATCATAACATTTTATGATGTACTTTAAGTTTTATCTCTATGAAGAATAGTTATATCAACAAGTCTACTTTTCAACCTTTTGAAAAGCAAATATTCTTTTGTTGAATGTATCAAACTCTTTAATTTCCTGTTGTTCTATTGAGAATTATGATACAAAAGTATTTCGAATATATTCATTAACGTTTATTGCTATAAAGATGTAGATTTCTAATAGATGACATGCACAGTAAAAAGTAATTACGTTAAAAAAAAAGGATTAAACTTTTAGTTAAATAAACTGCCATAAAAAATCAAAAAAAAAAGAAATAAGCGAAAGTAAGCATTGCTCGATAGCATGTAACATTCTCATTTTTTCTGTTGAATACGTGATCGAATAAGTTCTTCGAGTTTTTTTGAATCAACTGCAAATTTTCTTATACCATCTGATAATTTATCATGAGCCATTTCATCTTCATTTAACATCCAACGAAATGTTTTTTCATCAAGTTTTTCATGTTTTTTGTTTTCTTGTGTTTTTTTTTCAGTTTGTTCTTTATTTAAATAAACTTTTATTGGTTCATTAGCTGATGTTTTTTGTGATGCTAATTCATCAAGTAATTTTGGACTTATTGTTAATAAATCACATCCAGCTAAGCCAAGTATTTGTTTTGCATTACGGAATGATGCACCCATAACAACAGTCTTTATATTATTTTGTTTATAATAATTATAAATACGTGTAACACTAACCTAATTATTTGAGAGAGAGAGAGAGAGAGAGAGAATAAAAATAAAAATATTTTCCTTTTTCTTAAATAACTTACAACACCAGGATCTTCATCAATTTCATATTCACGTTTACCTTTTTTTTCAATATACCAATCATAAATTCGTCCAACAAATGGTGAAACAAGTGTTACATGTGCATCAGCACATGCTAATGCTTGAGCAAAAGAAAACATTAATGTCATATTACAATGTATACCATATTTTTCTTCTAATTCTTTTGCTGCTTGTATACCTTCCCATGTTGATGATAATTTAATTAAAATTCGATCTTTTGATATACCACGTTTTTCATATAAATCAATTAAATGACGTGCTTTCTTTATTTGTCCTTCACGATCAAATGAAAGACGTGCATCAACTTCAGTTGATACACGACCAGGTATTATTTTAAGAATTTCTTCACCAAATGCAACAAATACATTATCCATAATATCATCAATAACTTCTTGTTCATTTAATTCGAATGTATCTTTTTCTCGACATTTATCAATAATATCATTAATTATATGATCATATTGTTTCATATTAGCAGCAGCTAATATTAATGATGGATTTGTTGTTGCATCGGTTGGTTTGTATTGTTTTAATGATTCAAAATCACCTGTATCAGCAACAATTGTTGTATGTTGACGAAGTTGTTCAAGAACATTAGCCATGAAATAATGTTTGAATTAGAAAGAAAAAATAAATATCTTCAAAATTAGAAAAAAAAAATATGTATATTCTTTTGTGTATATTTTTAGAGAAAAAAAAATGATCGTTTTGTTTTGTACGCCTATAATCCTTGATAGATACAAATATATTCTTTTTGTTTCGCTTCATTAGGTCTATAATATACTTGAATCGAAGATAAAATACATAAATATTTACTGAAAGCTATTTTCGTTTATATACTATTCACTGAGCGTGGGATTAAGGAATGAAAATATGATTTTTTTTTATTGCGATATTACTAAATAGTACTAGTATCGGACAAATTTATTTATATATGTAAATCTTTTCAGAGAATAAAAATAATTACTGCGCAAAAAGGAAAACTATTTTTTTTTTATAAGACCCTACATTACAGAACTACCAATAAAACTCTTCATCAGTTTACCGTATTTTCAGTGAAGCATGGGATACTAAGAATGCATCTATATATAGGAATAAAACTATGTAGTCTCGATGCGCCAGATGTTTCATTTCACAGGACTCATTTAATTTTAACATCAGCATATATTCTCTTACTCAATGACTACTTCTCTTAATGAAAAATAAATTTCTTTAAATAACATTATCTTTTTTAATTGATATTTTCACAATTCAAAAAGCACAATTGAAGCATCCATTTTTTTTCATATATCCATACAAGATATTTTTCCACCGAAAAACAATAAGAAAAAACAAAAGCACAGATCGTTGATGCAAGAAGCTACAACGAGTGTGTGAGAAAAACAGAGACAAGCTTTTTTCTGATAAAGAAATAAAACAATTAAACACAGAATAATAATAATAAATATAAAGATCGCAAGACAAACGAAAATACAAACAAAAAACGAAACTGAATGTACAAATCAAATGTACATTTAGTTTATGAAAACGAGAAGATCATACATGCAACAAACAATACTAATAAAACATATTTTTCTTTTGTTGATTGTTGCATGTCTATCACTTCTCATTGCACATAGTAAAAGAAAAAAACGAACAAAACACAAAAAAAAAGAAAAATTACCAAAAAATCAAAGTAAAAATTTTTTAAGGCGACAATAACAATAAAGATAACAACAACAGAAAAGAAAAAGAAAGCCTTTGTCAAAATTAAAAGAAACACAAAAGAAAAAAACCAAAAGACCTTTTTTTATTTTAGATTCACCGATACAAGCATAACCAACAAAAGCAAACATTGAGATTTAAACAGGAGTTTGTGAAACTGATGAATAATATCGAAATAACTCATGTCTATAGAATGATGGAATGTGACTACGTTTTACAAAAACAAGTTTTGTGTCTTCAACTTCACAATCAATTTGTATCATAGGTACATGATTAGCTGGTACATGAATTGATTCTATAAAATAATTAAAAACAAAAAAACATCTAGAAACAAAATATATAAATTAATTAAATATACTATTTAAATGTGTAATTGATGCTGGTAAAATCAGAGACATTTTTGGTCGTTGAGTTTGATTTGTTACCGTTGCAGGAAGGATAAGATGATCCTTAATAATAATTAAAAAAAAAAGAAACGTAAGAACAATTAATTTTTATTTTGTTTTTCATATTAAACAAAATTATTTACTCGTTTGAATGATACAAAATAAAGTGTATCATTTCTTCTATCAATTGCATGAATAAAATCTTCATAATTAGGTTCATATCCTTTATATGGTTGAAGTTGACCTTTAGCTGTTGGTTGTGTTCTATATAAAAGATTTCTTAAATAAATAAAAAAATTTTTGCATTCTTCAAATTAATAACAAACTTAGATAATCGTCGATTGAGAAATGCAACTTTTCTTGATATATGTTGTTGTTCATTAGAATTTGTTCCAGGTGTCATATCAGGATTTGTTGAAATTCTAATAGAATTTGAATCAGGTATTGTAATTGATTTACTATTATCAGTATTTTCTAGTTTTCGATAATGATCTTGAACCCAAGAATGAAGTTCTTGATTAATTCTAAAAATAGAAAAAAGAAACTGTCAGTCATATGTTTCATTGAAGTGTTTTATTTTTGTCTATGCAAAAAGAAAAAAGCATCATCCAACTAGATTTCGAACAGTTTAGAATTAAACAATTGCACTCAAAAGTTCTATTCGATAGCAAAATACAAACAATTGGACCATTCAATAAAGAATAAAAGCCAATTGAATATCAAAAATTGTACTTCATGAGCTTCGAGACTGACGAAATCAAAACTATACTATGAAGTAATCAAATACGAATAAGTCTAAATCATAATTGATTATTTTCGTGATAAGATGTTTATGCTTTGATATGT